TGCCCTACCAGGTCTCCCACACCCACCTCCCCACCAATTTGGATAGCTTGTTGTTCCCTTAAATTATTATTATTTTGTCATATATTACACTGTCCAACGTCTCCCCCCCTTCTCTGCTGTTGATGACATTTTTCTTTCTTCATGTATGATGTTATTGATGTCATCGTACAGCTTTTCTGGCTTTCAGTCATTAGTGTTCAAGGCATCAAATCTATTCCAGAGATGTTCCTGAAAAGTTGTCTTTTGGCTCTCATGGGCTTGTTTGTATTTTCTTCTATTTCAACCTGAGCTTACACATGAGTAATGGATAGGCTGTTCCACAGATAGCCCTTGGTCTCAGTTTGGTTTCCAGCATTGAGCTTCTCCATTGTCTCTCCCACAAATCTCGTCAACTTGGTTCCTGAATCCCATCTGGCTAAGTCACCATTTATGCTGTTGAAAAGATCTCTGCAATGAAGTCAATGGCTTTCAAAAGTCTAGCATGCAACGTCCAGCTTCATTTTTGTCCCCAAGACCCTGCTGTCCAACTACTGCTCTTCCTCCGTTTCCAACTTTGCATTCCAATCACCAATAATTTTCAACGCATCTTGATTATATGTGTGATCAATTTTAGAGTGAACAAGTTGGTAGGAGTCTTCAATTTCATCACTAGCTTTAGTGGTTGGTACATCAACTTGAATAATCGTATTGACTGGATTTACTTGTAGGCATATAGATATTATCCTATCACAAAAAGCATTGTATTTTAAGATATATCTTAAAATGTCCTTTTTGATGTTGAATGAGATGCCATTCCTTTTGAATTTTCATTCCTGACATAGTGGACCATATGATTAGGTGATTCAAAATGGCCACTACCAGTCCATATCAGTTCACCAATGCCTAAGATATAAATCTTTCTGCATTCCATTTTTTAAATTACAAAAATTTATTAAAAGGTCATTTTATCGGGGGCTCTTACAGCTCTTTTAAGAATCCATGCATCAATTGTATCAAGCATATTTATATATGTTGCTTCATTATTTTCTTTCTTTCAATCTTAAGCATTTATTATTTATTTATTTAAGATAATTTTATTGGGGACTCATACAGCTCTTATCACAATACATCCATTCATACATTGTGTCAAGCACATTTGTACATTTGTTGCCATCATCATTCTCAAAACATTTTCTTTCTACTTGAACCCTAGGTATCAGCTCCTCATATTTTCCCATTTCATTTAGACAGCTTCCAATTTTCCTAGATTCATACTTCATACATTCTACATTCTGATTATTAATAGATGTTTGCAGCTATTTTTCCCCCTCTCATTTTGAGTCACGGCCCAACAACAAATGAAGGTCCACCCAATTTTACTTCATCCACAACATTATGGAAGATTCTACTTTGAGAAGACAGCTCGCCCTCGGTTGTATTTTAAGTGCCGTCTAACTGAGGGGTTCATCCGCCAGCACTTGACCTGACAATGTCTCATGGCTATTCAGTGCCCAATCCCTCAGAAGTGGACAGCTTATTCTTCCTTGTTGTCGGATCTAAGTCTGGAGGCTTTGCTAAAATCTGTTCACCTTGGATGACCCTGCAGGTATTTCAAATCCCAGTGATATAGATTCCAGCATCAGAGCAACACGCAAGCCACTACAGTACAGCAAACTGACAGACAGACAAGTGGTGGCCACAAGTTCTCTCATTAGGCGCCTGGAGCAACGCCACTCCAAAATCAAGCCTTGTGGTGGAAGGCCCTCAGTTATTCTTGCTCACCGTCCTGGGAAGCCCACTGCTCTGTATCATGCTCTGGTCCTTGGCCCTGATGCTGCTGCTACTCCTCCTCTTCTGCCACTTGTCTGGTGTCACAATTTGTGCCTAGATCAAGGAGGCTTGATGCATAAGGATATCAGGGTCCACAGGATGAACTTCAGTCCTGGGTCTTTATTCTTCAGAGTAATGAGATCCCTCTTCCTGCTTCTGAGGTGGCAAGTTTCATACCCAGCAGGATGGCACAAGTGAACAATGAGCACATTAGAGTTTTGAGTTTTTAGAATTACAATCAAGCCCTGTTAATCACTCACAACTGCAGCATACAATCATATAAGCAGCATCTTCCCTCAACTTCTCTACCTGGACCCATAAGGAAAAAGTAATTGGGTGGGAGTTACAAAGACTATAATTAGAAGAGTCATCTTAAGTAATTCACTGCACTGCCACCCAGAGGATCCTTGAAAGAAAGGCTTGTCAATCACCTTCCAAAAACCAGCTGTTGAAAACCCTATGGAGCACGAGTCAAAACTGACTTAAAGGAAACTGGTTCCATTTTTTGGCTTGATGTCAAAACAGAACTGTTAAGGCAGCGGTTCTCAATCTGGGTGTCGCGACCCCTTTGGGGATCTAACGACCCTTTCACAGGGGTCACCCGATTCATAACAGTAGCAAAATTAGTTATGAAGTAGCAACAAAAATAATGTTGGGGGGGGGTGGTCACCACAACATGAGGAACTGTATTAAAGGGTTGGGGCATTAGGAAGGTTGAGAACCACCGTGTTAGGGATACCAAGATCCGGCCCAGGCCAGCCCTGCTCATCTGACCAAAGTCCCGGTCTCTGAGTCCCCTGCAGATCCCTTCTCAAACTGGTCTGGCTCCTCAGCACTCTCCCCACATCCTCTTGCCTCAAAGCTCAGCCCCAAATACCTTTCTCTCCCTGTGTTCCAGGCCATAAGGATCCTTGGCGGAGTCATGGTTCTGCACTGGGCTGCTAATCCCAAGGTTGGCAGTTTGAAAACACCAGTGGCTCTATGGGAGAAAGATGAGGCTTTCCACTTGGGTAAAGAGCTGCAGTCTAGGAAGCTCATAGGGGTAGTTGTACCCTGTCCTATTGATGAGACACTGTGGGTATTTTGTTTCTGGGCTATGCTCGAGCCATCTGGCCTTCAGCTCGGCTGTGTTTCAGAGATGTGTGTATATTGCCAGGCGGTAGCAAGAGCTTTGAGGGACATAAAAAAGTTAGGAGATGCTGGTGGGAGGCCAGAGGGGGCTGCAACTTTGGGCAAAGTGCTCAGGAGGCCCTCTCCCACATCGAGACATTAGAGCAGACCCCTAAAGCAAGAAGGAACTCGCCCAGGAGCAATCTAGGAAAACGCAGTCACAGGGTGTATCTTATGCTTCCTTCCGCAGCTGGGCAGCGGAGGCCATGAAAGAGAAAGCACGCGAGAAGGCATGAAGCAAGAAAAAAAGAGGAAGAAGTCATTATAAAGGTGACCAGACGTCCCGATTTTTAACAATTTGTTCTGTGTACTGCGGCGTTTTTAAAAAGTTTGGAAAGAATGCATGACAAGCTAGGGAACGGCAGGAGAACGGTTGCCATGTGGCTATTTCGCCAGGATATGAGTTTTATATTATTTTTGTTAATTTTATCATGTTAAACTTTAATAATAACAAATAATTGTTGAGAACTGATTATTAAGAACTGCTTATCAAAGTTCGCATTGTTGATCAGTTGTTAGAATTAGACCACCATTGTTTGGACTTAATGAACAACGGCATTTTTTGGCATTGGCAACGACGAAAACATTTTGTAACTGTCTCTCAGACGATACACATCGTACTGTGTGCTAGTGCTCGTTAAACAAGTGATGTCAACAAATCAGCTCTTCAGATAATTTAGGTAAGTAATTTCATAAATACATAAATTTTTTTGAATTTAGCAGACAGTACTGGAATGATGTGCAAAATCATTTGATCATATTACTCAAAAATTCCCATATAGTAATATTTCCGAAAATGATCTTTTTAATGAGGTATCATTATTAAAAAAATATATTGATAAGGAAAAGGTTAAATCTTGGGCACCAGCAAAAATCACAATAGAGAACAAATGGTTAGAAATATTTCATCATTTTGAAACAAACCATGTTCCATACAATAATGCACTAAAAATTGTGGAATACGCGCTGTCCTTACCAGGAACTAATGCTGCGACTGAACGCGTTTTTTCTAGGGTAAATAAAGAGTGGACATCAGAAAATTCACAATTAAGTGTTGAGATTTTGAACGCCATTTTATGTGTGAAATATAATTTAACAAATTCTTGTGAAAATTTTCATGGCCTTTTAAACAATGACACAGCAATCTACTAAAAAAAAACTCACTCAAATGAGAAATATGCCAAAGAATAAAATAATACTATACATAATTAATGTATCATATTTGTACATTGTACTTATGTTGAAATGTAAAAAAATATATTACAATACTATTTTTGAGTTCTATGAAAATTTTTGTTGCTCCATGTAGACCAAATTTTTAATCAAGAAACCCTACCCCGCCCACCCCGCCCCCCCTTCCGCCCCCCGTCAATGGTGTCCCGCTTTACCAATGTTAAAATCTGGTCACCTTACATTAGCTGCGTCAGACGTTTACCTTTGGACACCACCCAGGACCCAGACCTGAGCGGGCTTGGAACTAACCGACTACCTGAGGCGCCAGATGTCAACCTCAGCTCTTTCGGCATCACAGTGGAGCAAAGAACCGGTTCTCCCAGGGCGTGGGTATGGCCACGCCCCCACGCACTCCCCTTCCCCCGTCTCGCGACGACAAACGCGGGGAAAGCCCGCCCCTGCGTCTGATTTCCTTGGGCCCCGCCCCTAATCGTCTCCGTCCAATAGGAGTGGCCCCACCTCCCACGGCTCCGATTCCGCCCTCCCTCGACCCAGAATTAATTCAGAGGCTGAGCGTCAGCGATTGGCTTACAATCGGGAGGCTTTAAAAAAATCTAGTTTGTAATTGGCTGTGGCGCCCGCCGACTTCCCGCACTGCCAGACGACCCGGAAGTGGTTCGCGCTGTGGCTGGCCGCGTGGGTTCGCCTCCCGGGGACTCCGCGCGAGTGTTGCTGCGGCCGTCGTAATGACCAAAATCAAGTCCGACCCGGACGGGCCAGAGGCGTCGGCGGAGGCGTGCGCCGGCGGGGAGCGCACTTACTACGAGCTGCTGGTCAACCTGAACCCCATCGCGCAGCCCCTGGCCTCCCGCCGCCTCACGCGGAAGCTCTACAAGTGTATCAAGAAAGGTGCGGCGGGAGAGCGGGCGGGCGGCCGCGGCCCGGGGTGGGGGCGGCGCGAGGCCTCCGACTGACTCCAGTGCCTTTGCAGCCGTGAAACAGAAGCAGATTCGGCGTGGTGTGAAAGAGGTTCAGAAGTTTCTCAACAAAGGTGAAAAAGGGTAAGCTAGATACGCCCCCGCGCCCCACCCTGGTTTTCGCAGTTCTGAACGGGAAACTGGGTCGTTCGGTATCTTCAGGCCCTTTCCGACCCATAGCCACCGATGCACAACAGGAAGCCCTGCCTGCATGGCCCCGCACCATCCTCACAATGGTTCTTTGTCGGAGCCCCTCGTTACAGCCACTGGCTGTGTTGATCCAGCTCAAGGGCTCCCTCTTTTGCGGTGCGACTCCACTTTACCAAGCTTCGCGCCCTCCTCCAGGGACTGGTCTCTCCTGACATGCCCATCTTTGACTCTAAGGAGCACTCTGTACAGGCGTCATACAAGACAGCTTTGTCCTCTTGGCAATCCATATTTTCCATATTCTTTGTCAGCACCGTAATTCAAACACATCAATTATTTTTCGGTCTTCCTTATTCAGTGTCCAACTTTCACATACATATGAGGGCATTGAAAATACTATGACTTGGGTCAGGTTTCTTTGTCCTCAAAGAAACCTCCCTTGCTTTTTTAATACTCTAAAGAGGTCTCGTGCAGACTTCACCAATGTAAAACTCTTCTGATCTCATGATCACTACTGTTTCCATGAGCATTGATTGTGGATCTAAGCAAGATGAAATCCTTCACAACTTCAATCCTTTCTTCATTTATCATTGGTCCAGTTGTGAGGATTTTAGTCTTTACATTGAGCCAATCCATACTGAAGGCTGCAGCTTAGTAGGTGCTTGGTAATAGGTGAACTGAGTCCCTTCGAATTAGAGATAACAAAGCGGTCGGTAAAAGCCACATGACATGGATACCCTTATGTCACTTACATGCACTCAGGCGGACACTGTGAGCAAAGTGAACTCAAAAGGACGCTAACCATGTCATTTAATTCAACTAAGGTAGCTCTCCCCCATCCCCATTCATTCCGCTCCTGCTTATTGTGGGCGTTATCAAGTACCCTGCTGTATGGATGCAATGATATTTTTTGAGAGCGTAATTATAGATTGTGGGAACTAAAGAAAAAGCTCAAGAATGACTTCAATCCCTTTAATACCTAGCAATTATCAGAATCTGAAGTTTTCGGATTTTTATCCCCAATATCTCCCACACAGGCCAAACTAGTGCTTCTTGACAATAAGGCCCCTAACTGCTTTGTCCCAAAGTCAGCCGCACTGTTGGTGCTCAAGGAGTAAGGCTGAGGGATTTAACGCACAATTTAACCTAGGACAGGGGGTGCTGGGGACACATGCATCAGGGAGCTTGATTCTAGCTGAGATCTGAAGATGCAAGGACCGAGTCATGGAGTAAGAAAGGGAAGGTAGGAGGTTCTAGCCAGGAGAGGAGCCTTCACAAAGGCCCCAGGGCAGGAGAAAGTGTTGGCAGCCAGAGACCCTACTGTCTTATGGCCCTGTGAGCCATGGTAAGGATCTTTGGGGACCACTGAAGAATTAATGCAATGGAGTGACCTAGTTATGCCTCAGCATTTTTTAATGGAAGGAAAGCAGGATTAGTGGGGCAAGGGTAGACGTGGGGAAGCCAATTCGATTGCTGCTGGAGCTGGAAAGTGAACATGGGTGGAGGTGAGGAGATTTAGGTTCAAGAGTAAGGTATTGCAGACGGAGGGGTTTTGTTGTGCCCAGCCAAATGGGCAGAGCAAACCAGTCTGTAAGAGAGGGCTGGGTTTGTAGGAAATCATGTTTGGTTTTAGGGTTTTTAAGGCAGCGTGCTCACAAGGGTGAGCACAAGGTGAGAGACACTCCCTGGCCCCCAACGTCCCTCAGCCTGTCACACACACAGCCAGAGAGGCATGAAGCCTGAAAAGAGGGCCAGCTAGAGACCAGATTTGGGAGTTGTCAGCACACAGGCAGCGTTTGATGTCGCAGATGCGTCAGCCTGAGAGACAGAGTGAAGGGCAGCCAAGGGTCTAGCTGGGGAACGGCAGCACCTAGGGGAAGAGGAGGCTGCAGAAGCAGTGATCTGAACCCAAGCTGCTCCCCTTGTTTCCAGACGCCCATCCCAGGAGATGGCGGTAGGGAGCAACAGATAGGACTTGCCAGCTATGAGCCTGAAGACCCCATCATCATCTCCGTGTGAGGCAAAACCCATTTCTACCTTTGGCATCCGAGGCCCTTGGCTGGGTGTGGCCTCAAGCCTGCCTTCCCATCCCTGTCGGTTCCCAAACTACCCCAGGTGGCCAGGACCCGTTCTGGGGCACCCTTGTGCTACTTGCAGTCTTGAAAGGCTCTCCTCTCCATGGCCCCTCCTCCCTTGGTTTCCTGACCACAGTTCTCTCTCAGCCTTCAATTCGGTTCTCCCTTTCCATCTCCAAGGAAAGCTTACAGCTTGGGGCTCCTCCACACCTCATCTGTCCAGGCACTTGGGTCAGATGGGGCTTTTGAAAGTGTTTTAAGAAACTATATGGGCCATCTCCTCCATAGAATGCGTTGGCCCAAGTATACAATTCTCCACCCCCCCTCCCCCCCCTGCCGTCAGAAGTCTGCATTCCCACATTCATCATGGGGCTCCTTACAGACAGGGTCATCTTATTGGTCCCTGTACCCCCAAGACCCGGCCCAGAGGCAGCATTTACTGACTAAAAGGGAAGGGAAGGACAAGCACGAAGTGAAGGATTTATTTCATTTCAGGATCATGGTTTTGGCAGGAGACACACTGCCCGTTGAGGTGTACTGCCACCTCCCTGTTATGTGTGAGGACCGGAACTTGCCCTATGTCTACATCCCCTCTAAAACGGTAAGGAGCCCGAGAGCCCGCTGACCTCGGTCAGCACTGAGGACAGGCTGCAGGGCAGACAGACAGGGCTGGGTCCATTCACAGTGCTACCACTTCCTCCTTGGGGGTGCAGTTACCGCTGCACATCTGCTTCTTTTCCTGTCAGTGGGAGCACTTCTCTGTGCGCTGAGAATGGAAATGGGAGGTGTGTGAATGTGCTTTTTCATAATGGAAATGCCTGGTAGGCTAAGGTTAGATGGGTGTTTAGGGTAGCTACAGGGGGTAGCAGGTAACCAGAGAGCAGAGGCCCTGCATAAGGGGGCTGTGTGGCCAAACTCTAGCCCCATCACCAGCCATGTGGGGCTATAGGTCATGTTGGTAGGTTGTGGCTTGAAAGTGAGCTAAGGTTAAATGACGGCAAACATTTAGAAATGTTTTGCACGTAACATTTTAACAGATGACCAGGTTGGGCCCCACTCCAGCAGCATCCTTCAGCACGTTGTGACTCTTGGTGTATCAGTTGTGGAGCCTTATTGCCCTAAACACCCCCCCCCCCTTTCTCCGTAGGACCTGGGAGCAGCAGCCGGCTCCAAGCGCCCGACCTGTGTCATAATGGTCAAGCCCCACGAGGACTATCAGCAGGCCTATGATGAGTGCCTTGAAGAAGTCCAGGCCCTGCCCCAGCCGCTGTGAAGGACGCTGGCAGCTACTTGGCGCCTGTTCTGGAAGCAGGGAGCCAACTGGCTACCCACACGCTCAGCATCTCTTCGGTTGCCTGAGGCATGCACTCTTCCCAGGCTGCTATTTCATGAGGATGGAGCCAGCGGCTTCTCAATCAGCACTGTCTCCTGGTGTGCTCACAGGAAGACAGTTCCAAGACTCTGGTGTGGGGGAAGTAAATGCTCAGACTGAAATGACATGTGAGTCTGTGGGTGGTGGTGCTGTGTTTTTTTTAAGCAGCAGCTGCTGGTGGGGCCATGGAGTCGGTGGGCAGGAAAGAGTAGAAGCAGCCATTCTGAAGAGGAATTCCACAGGACACCAAGAGGGCTTCATTCTCAGCCATCCAGAGCTGGGTGCTTGGGCTCGGGCTGAGAAAGGACTCTGAGCTGCCCACCCAGAGCTTGTAACTCCCACCTTCCATGTAGGGAGCTGACAGCTGCAAGGCGAGGAAGCACAGAGCCCACTTCACAGAAAGCTACAGTCCCCATGGGGCAGGGCACCCTCATTCCTCCTCTTCCCCCAGGAGCCTTAAATGCCACTGTAAAATGAAAGGAAGCAATTTACCTGCCCACGCAGTACATTTTAAATAGGCTATGAAGTTCAATACAAAACCCCAAGCTTTCTCTCCACTCAATATAATGGCCCCTGGTAATCTGATCCCTCAGGCATTTTAAACTTAAGGTGTCCTTTTAATGTCCAAGTCCCTATGTTGGACTTAGTACACACAGTGACCGAGGTTCAAACACCTTGGAGTACACTGGGAAGACTGCTTTAAGTTCTCTGCAGGCTGCAAACCCTGCTGTGCAAGTCACAGCATCTTCCCAAGTCCTCACACTGACTGGCGTTGCGGGGTAAGGAAATCTGTGCACATAAAAACATCTTGCTTTAAGGCTAGCGGCTCCTGGCGAGGTTCGTTCTGCGGGGCACAGGCCAACCGTGCTCCCACCACAGCCTTGGCTGGACCGGGAGCTTGTGGACCGACCATGTCTCACTTGTCACATGAAGCTGAGGGCAGGTGGGGAGAGCGGTAAGGAGAAGGGCTGGGAACATTTACTGGAAGGTAGAAAACACTGACACTCGGCTCTCACTCGGACTATTTACAGTGGGAAGTAGATACATACAGTTTGTTGTACAGTGGGAGGGAGATGGCCACAGTTGGGACCTGTGGGCTGCCGGCCATTGTACATGGTGCGGCAGTAAGAGCCCTGGCTGAAGGCAGGGATGGGCAGATGTCTGTTGAAGGCCAAGTCCTTAGCTACTCAGTTGCTGCTAAGCCAACAGCAGCTATAAGGGACTTGAGAACAGGCTGGTGCTGTCCATCCCTGCCAGCAGAGGAGCCAGCTGCCCAATACTGGTGGTTCCCTTCCTCGGGTCCTGGAGGGATCCCCATTAGCTGGCTGCTCTGCAATGATCAGAAGCCTGTGGGCCAACCACCTGACAAGGCTCAGACATTGAAGGCCCTTCAACCAAGTTCCTTGCAGGCAGGAATCAGAAGATGATGCGTTTCCCATCTGCTGGGTTCTGCTCCATCGGACAGTAGGGACACTTGAGCCTGCCAAGGAGAAGGGCCAAGGAGACCTTAGGGGCCAGCCAGCAGGACGGCCATCCAGGTGCTGCAAACCCCGGGACACTTACTTCCCTCCATTAATGAGCTTGTTGAGTGCATCTCGGGAGATCACGTGGCCACAGATGAGCTTAATGGGAGGGTTGGAGTCTGAAGTCTGCTGGCGGAGGATAGGGCAAGCGAACACCGAGTGATACCAGCACTTCATGCCGAGTTCAATCTCGATCTGGGGGGCCAACCAGAGGGGTGAGCTCCACTCCTGTCCAGGCTGCCTTCCCAGGTCCCTTCCCCTCACCACCCACCCCGTACCGTGGCTCACCGGCAACTCATCCTTGTGACTCCAGACCCCAGTGCACTGGCGCTGCTCAATCACGGCTTTGATGTTCATCAGCACGGGCAGGGCCACACAGCCAGAGGCAAAGCTGCGGGACAAAGAGCCCTCAGGAACCCAGCACAGCCTCGGGACATGCCTGAGACCAAACTGGCCTTTGACAGTCTCTTCTATTGCTTCTAAGTGCACAACATAGAAGTATCCAACTCTAGATAATTCTAGGACATCCCCAAATGTGAGAGCCTACACTTCAGTCATTCACTGCCATTGAGTCAATTCCAACTCCCAGTAACCCTGGAGGACAGAATGGAGCTGCTCCTGTGGGTTTCTGGGGCCGCGAACCTTTATAGAAACATCTTTCTCCTGCAGACAGCTGGCGGGGTGGAAGTACTGATCTTCAGGTTAGCAGCCCAATGCTTAACCTGTGATGCCACCGGGGCTCCTTGAGGGCCTACAAAGAACATTCAGGGCCATATGGCCGCTCACCCAAGACGTTCAAAAATTCTCATAGGATAGCTCTAGCCTGCCTGCAGTCACCCGACCCTCTCGCAATAGTATCTCCCGGAATGGGGGAGGGGGTGCAATGGAAGCGATGCCTGCAGGCATGGAAACTCCCATCTGAGTGCCTCAGGGGAGGCTCACCAGAGGTTGCACAGGAGAGCCCAGTGTGTGCCAGTAAAATGCCCCCACCCCAAACCAAACAGGCCATGGGGCCAATTCCAACTCACAGCAACACTACTGAGAGCAGAAACCGCTCCCCAGAGCTTGCAGGGTTGTAAATCTTTACAGGAACAGTCTGCCCCATGTTTCTCTCTTGAAGGGGATAATGGGTTTGAACCATCGGCCTTGTGGTTAGCAGCTCAATGCTTAGCTCACTGCACCACCAGGGCTCCTTGCCCTGTGAAGCCTTAGGCAGTTCTGTCTTGCATCTCGCTTCCTCATCAGTAAAATCAGGTGACTAGTGCCGGACTCCTCCCAGGCTGACTGAAGCTGAGAGGGGCCTTTGTGGAAAAGCTTCCAAGTCTTCCCTGAGGGAGCGTGCGAGAAGCGGGCCACTGGGGAGGGTCTGGCAGGAGCCCAGGTGAGGGGTGGGAGGCAGGGGCACACTGCAGGAGACCCTACAAAAAGCACCAGCCTGTGAGTGACCTCAGGCTACAGCTTGGCTGTGAAAGCGGAGGGCACTTCAATGTTGAAGGAGGACTAGGAGCCAAAGTGGGCCTGTGGATGCACGGAGCCCCACAAAATCCCCTTTCCCTTCCCTGTGCTGCCCCCACAGGGCTGAGCCTTACCTGACGCTGAGGGGGGACTCCACAGAAAGCCCCAGCAGGGAACAGGCATCCCGGGTGAAGGTCTCGCAGATCTCAGCCCAGTGACTGCTGTCCAGCAGGTGGCAGTAGGGTGACTTTTCCAAGCCCAGCCGCAGGTACACCAGGCTGCCCATCATCACCTGGATCTCTACAAGGCAACCGGGGGTGGGGGGCCAGCTCAGGGTGGGCCCCGGCCGGAGGTGGCAAGGCTAGGTCATAGGGCCCTCAGGTATGACTAGTTTTCAAAAGGATCCAGACCAGGTAGCATCCAAGGGCTCCCTTGCTTCTAGACAAGGAGGCCGAGTGGGAGTCACAAGTGGTCTGCTCAAGCAGGATTAAAAAAAATAGGTCCAAGTTCACTGATGCTGACTCATAGTGACCCTACAGAACAGGGTAGAAGTGCCCCTGTGAGTGTCCAATATTGTAACTACAGCACTAGAAAGCCCCGGAGCTGCTGGTGGTTTTGAACTGCTGACTTTGCAGATCACAGCTCAATGCATAAGCACTAGGAATTAACCATTCGAATCCCACTGGGAGGTGGGCTCCCTCACCCATCTTCTGTCCTTCTGGGGGCCCAGGAACAAATACCAGTCGTTTTAGCATTTTTCTTTCAATGCTAATCTCCCATTTTAGCAGAGCAGGACCCCTACCCCCAGCCAGGGGTCAGAACCCTCAGGAGGCAGCTGTAGCTAGCTAAAGAATTTAAGAACACTCATTTGGCTTTCAAACTTACTCTTAAAAATACCAAACGTGAGAGGAGCAAACCTGGCGTTGCAGGTGTGAGACTCAGACTTTCCCAGGTTTGGGACTCCTGGTGTCACAGAGCAGGGCAGGCAGGGTGCCGCGGAGAGTGGGGGCTTGAGCTCAGTCCCAGGAAATGGCAGGGAGAAAGGCAAGCACTGAAGCTGAGTGGCACAAAGGCCCAGCCCGTGGTGGACATGGGGAGACCTCAGGGGGGTGTGCGAGGCAGTGCACTGGAGATGAGAGTAGCCGGGTAGGCTGAAGAAGGTTGGAGGCCAGCGAATAAGGCACTTGAGCTCACCTGCCACACCAAGGTGCTCTCCAGGTGGGGCCGGCGTCTCAGTCACTATAGCCCCACATTGAGGCTGGCAACCTGATAAACCTGCCAGAGCAGAGCTGCAAACTCCAACCTCTGCATCCACACCTGTCCGTCATAGCACCTACCACGCTGGTGCAGCCGAGCAAAGGGCTGGAAGTGCCGGGCGTAGCTGAGGGCCTCCAGCTGCTTCTCAGGGCCGCCTGCCAGGAGGCGGATGAAGTGCAGCCGGTGCAGCTTGAACTCCAGTGAGCTGTTGAGTTCCAGTAGGCGCTGCCTGTGGGAGACGGCCCATCTGGGAAGAAAGGAGCCAGTTTAGAGCTGGTGGCAGGGCCAGGACTGGAGAGGTGGGATCCCAAAGCCTATGTATGTGAGGCGCCTGGAAGCATGACGGGTTAGAGCTGGGGGAAATGAAGGCCATGACGAGCCTGTCCCCTGGGAGCTGGGGCAGCAGGAAAGGCTGGAGGTGTGAGCCTCTGGGTAGAGTCGCCAATGACCCACCCAAGGGCGGCCTCCTTACTCCAAGGCAGGGCCCAGGTCCTGTTCGTGCAGAGCTTCCAGGATGCGATTCAACTCCAGGAAAGGCTGTTTGAAGTCCAAGTCCACACTCAGCGTTGACTCCTATGGACAAGAAAGACCCCGCCACTGGAGGGCAGTGTTTCTAGAACGCTCTGCTTTACAAGCCAAAGTCCACAGAGGACCCATGCCCATTTTTGTTCTGGGGAGAAGATGCTGCCTTTTGTGATTCCCCCAGGGGGCCCCCAAAGCCCAGCCCTGACTCACGAGTAGAAAGTTATGTCCCTCCAGCCCTCCCATCACACTGGGGGGAAGCCTCGGTGATGGCCTGCCCCTTTCCTGTGTCCTCGCTTTCCTAAGAAGGACAGTGGACAGAGGTTTCACTGTCAGGTCTGGCTAGCGGCCAACTCTAAACAGAATTAGTACCTTCATTTTATTGTCATCTATATGTAGATTTTACTTAGTGCTACCTTCTATTTGTGGCAGAGAGACTGGTTTCCTTTCTCAAATAAACATACTTTGATTCACGGGGTGACGCTGAGACTGAGGGAAGCCTTGAAATGACGGCCAGACAGCCATTAAGCCCAGACCCGAACTATCCCAGGACACAACGTTGTCTTGAACTGAAGCAAGTTCACTCGTTCGAGCCTGTTGCCTCGAGCACTCTGCTCTTTCAAAGAGGGATCTACTGGAGCCCAGATCAGTGGTCCTCAACCTTCCTAACACCGCGACCCTTACATACAGTTGTGGTGACCCCCAACCATAACAATATTTTCGTTGCTACTTCATAACAGTAATTTTGATACTGTTATGAATTGGGCGACCCCTGTGACGGGGTCCTTTGACCCCTAAAGGGGTAGCAACCCACAGGTTGAGAACCACTGGCCTAGAAGGACAGCTGGAACTGTGAAGCTGCAGACCAGACCTTTGAGAAGTTGTCCAAGTGACGCTGGTGGCACGAATAGGGGCAGCACTAAGGAGCATGGGACCCAGCGTGAAGTATGGAACCAGTGTCAATGATTTGTACTTGTAAAAACTGCTGAATGTGTGCTTTCTTGTATAGATTTCCACCAAAGAACAACAGGGACTCAGTTGGTGGCACTGGTGTTAGGGACAGCAACAGACTTCTCATCTTCCACTCAGAAGACCAGGGCTCGGTTCCCAGCCAGTGCACCTAGTGCCCACCCACGCCGATCTGTCTGTGGAGGTTTGCGTGCTGCTATGATGCTGACCAGGATTCAGCAGAGCTTACAGACTAAGAAAGACCTGGTGCTTTACTTGCAAATGAAAACCAGCCAACGAAAGCCCCGTGGGCCAATCCGACTGTGCACGGGGTCACCTAGAGGAGGGGCCAGGTTGATGGCAGCAGCAGCAGCAGCGACCGACAGGTTACCTGGCACAGCTCCTCGGCGACGCTGAGCATGCCCTGCTGGTACAGGTGCTCCACGATGGCCATCTGCAGGATCTGCTGCTGCTTCTCCCGAGAGTCCCACACCGCGTCGGAAACCACGCCGCAGATCTCGGAGTCGAAGTTCTGCCGGAAGAGAGCGGGCCCTGAGCTTGGACGTGCACGCACACCTGCCTGCCTGCCTGCCAAACCCCATGGCCTCGCTCACTCCTGGACAGCCCCGCAGACTTCCCCGGGCCCCGCAGGCTCACCCTGTCTATGGCTTTGCCCACACGGGACACGCTGCTGTGAATGTCCTTGTGGTCCGAAGCCAGTTTCTGGACGGTGTCTTTGATCTTCCGGCAGCACTGGGACATCACCAAGGAGAGAGTGGCCGAGAGAGGAGTCCCCTGGAGGGCTGCAGAGAAACTCTGGCTCTGAGTCAGACGCAGGAGTCTGATCCGAACGGCCCAGGACAGAAATAGCTGGGGCAGATTCTACTCCAGGTCCTGTTACTTTTTAACAACATGATGTAGGATAACCCAGTCCCTCTGAAAGATAGTAGGTAATGGGACTGGCCTTGTCGATTGTCGTGATGGTTTGGGGGTCTGGTGGCACAAAGGGTCAGACTTAAGGTGGGTGGTTCAAGGTGGGAGACAGGATTCACAAGGCCATAAGGTGGGAGACAGGATTCACAAGGCCATGAGCACCAATAATCACACGGGGCAGCTCTACTCTGTAATGCACATATCATATCATATATAGTTCAGTCACACTAAGAAGAGTTGTGCAATCACCGGCACAATCCAGTCCAGAACCGTCTCTTCTTCTACTCATGGTTAGCTCCCCATCTTCCCCCAACCTCCCCTGCCAAGCCCTAGCTACTTATTAATCCAGTTACTATCACTACAGATTTACCTATCCTAGATTTCATATTCAAAAAATCATACAAAATACAAATAGTAAGTCAACAACAAAAAACAACAATGACAAAACAAAAACAGAAAAGGCTCATTCAAAAGGAAAGCAGAAAGTATTATAAAATAAAACAACTTTAAAATGGGTCAAAAGGGAGAACAAAGGATAAAGTATTACATTTTAACCTAACTATATCTGCCGTAATCAATTTTGCAATGCTCTCTATCTGATATTAAAGCTATCCCATTCCTGGACTATCTGGTCAGAGGGGATTCACCAGAGACTTAATCCATGTGGGAACCCAGCAAATGGATGTGGGGCATCCAGTGTCATCCACAGCCTTCTGCAAACTGGGTGCTCATAATTTAAGCTCTGATACTGTTCCCTCTTTCGGATTTGGGTTTCACTATTTACAGTCCTTGGAACACACTGGCTGGTGTGGTTCCTCCATGTGGACTTAGCTGATGCCTGGTTTGGGTTTATGTTGGCCTTTAGTTTTTAGGTTTCTGGGTGCATTAAGGGCAGTGGTGGTTCACCAGTAGGATTCCTGCCTTCTGTGTACCACATGAACAACCACTACTGTCAGTGGAGGTTTGCAGGTGGCCACAATGCTGCACTTGACCTTCCACACTAAGAGAGATGAGAAAGAAAGGCCTGGCAATCTATCATCCTATGGACCACAATAGTTCAATCCTCTTGTTCATGGAGTTGCCAAGAGGTGGGGGTAGACTCAAAAGCAGCTGTGGTAGTTATATAATCTGCTGTCAATTGGAGAGGATTAAGATGAGTGGGGTGGAATTTAGCCTGTCAATCAGGTCTCACCTTGATGACCTCGTTTAGAGGCACTAAGGAGATAAATAGCTCACTGGAGACAGAATGCAGGCTCACTCCCTGGGAGACATCGCAGCTGACAAGACACATGGAACTATGCTAGTGCTCTGAGCTGGAGAAGCCACGTGGAGACCCCTGCCAGTGCTACGATGCTTCTTCCACTGCCACTGGATCCACAATACTTCCCACCCACTGGCCTGTGATCCTCCTGCACTCACAGCATCATCACATGTGTTTCATGAGCCTGAAGAGGCATTTATAGATTGGCATCAGACATATGGGCTAATGTCAGACTTATGGACTTGATCTGGACTGGGCTGAGATGTTTTCGCAATATTCATTTGCTCTTGCATATAAAGCTCTTTCTTATGCAAAAATGAGTCTCCCTCGATTTGTTTCTCTAGTCTACCCGGAGTAACACAGCAGCTAACTTTAACCTGGGTTAAGTACTCCAGGTATTTTAACTCCCTTAAGCCTCACCACCACACCAGCCAGTAGATGCTCTTAATCTCCCAGTTCCATAGCGGAGGAGATGGAGGAGCTGTGATTCTCAACTTGCCCAGGACACACAGCAGTGACAGGTCTGAAGCCTGTGCTCACCACCACGCTGGCCTGGTCCACGCCATCCTGAGTGAAGAAGCGCAGCACTTTCCCCACATCACTGCCTCTTGCTGACCAGAGACCTAAGACAGGCTGCGGTCTACAAGGAAAGGTTGGGGACATTTCTGGCTCAGGATACCAAGCCTGCAGTGGCTTGTACCCCCAAGGTTAGGCTGGAGCATGTGGAGCCTGGAAGAGAGGAGGGTGACAGGGCCCCTTCCCTTCTTCCAGTCTGACACCTTTATCTTTCAGAGGCAGGGAAGGGCACGTGGCTCAGGAGGGCCAATGAGTGTCTCAGCTCTGGGCCTGAAGCCCTGGACAAGAAATGTTCTTTCTGCCAGGCTGCTGGGGAATTGGGGTCACCTTGAGAAGCCGTACCTCACAGAGCCTCGTAGAGGAGGAGTGCAGAGCAAAGGGCCAGGGCACCAGGGCAGCACCTGGATGCAGATGGGCCTGGGTGCTCGGTTAGCGGGTCCGTGAACTATGTGCATTTTGTTCAAGTCGTTCTGAGCCGGGTTTCTGTCACTGGTAACTGAATGGCTTCGGACAAATACAAGCAGGAGGCCACCATCCACAGACAGGGCAGAAATCCAAGCATCTTCTCCTGATGACACCCCAGCTTCCACTCATTACTCCTCACCTCCTGGCCACAGAGGGGTGCACTGGGCACATGCCAGTCACCATCTCTCAGGAAAGCAAAACATTTTAAGCTAGCAGTTCCCAAATCCCTGCCTCAGGAGGACCCTACTGACTGCCACTAGTCCAGCGATGCCACATCTGAGAAGGGAGAGGGAGCTTCCCTGTAAACACGCTGCAGCCCAAACCTGGTGTCATCTACCACCCAAGAGCACAGGCAGCTTCCTTCCTCCGGCAGCTCACAGATGCCGTCAACACCAAGGGAGCCGGGGCATCGGCGTCAGACCAGCCCCGCACAGTAGAAAACCGTTAGCCAGCGTGAACTAGCAGAACAGTGTGCCCATGGAGAACATGGTGCGAGACTGGACGGACAGACGGCTGAGGGAAATGCCTTCCCGGTGCAGGGCAGTGGGCGCTTTCTGCTGCCCTTTGGCTTTTACAGAAGAGGTGATCTTACAGGGTCAACGGACAACAGCCCTTCAAGGAAGTGGACTGGAAGCTCGGGGGCAGCGAGGTAGGTTGACGAGGGAGAAGCACACGGGAAAGGAGAGTGAGACCTGGCTGGGAACTGGAAGGATACCATCAGCACGGGTGAACTGTACATGTAGGAACTGCAGAACTGGAAGGATACCATCAGCACGGGTGAACTGTACGTGTAGG